TTTTTACCTCCCAAAAGGGGGGGCCGGGGCCGGGCCGCCCCCCCCCCTAAATCCGCCCCTGATAATGTTATTGTACACAACATGATGCCAATAACTGAAAGGTCCACTGATTGATCTCAGATAAGAAGTATATGGTAATACATACTACAAGTATTGAAATACACGTCATTGTGTTGGGATTCAATATTTCAACTTTAATTATGTCATCACCATCATTCCTCATGATGACATAATTAATGTATTATACTTTCTTATAATGCCAATTGCGCATTATAATAATGTTTATTGTACAATACATACATTCAATTGTACATAGCACAATGTTGATTTGTGGACTATGTAATGCCTATTGTACAAAACATAGTGTGTATTGATAATATTGAGTGTACAGTACACTACATAATATAGATTTGCGGTGCTATACATACAGTAATGTCAATTGTGCATTACATGGTAGTATAGATTGCGAACTACATAATTGGGATTGTACACTACATGATCTGCCCATAAGGTACTAATATTATTCCATATTTGTTTAAATCCTAAACATGTCTTTAAAAATACTACACCTACACAACCATGGCTTAGTTGATTGTCATGTTTTAGGCAAATGTAAATTACTGTAGAGAAGAGAGAAGTGAGGTTTAGTGCTATTAATGTTAGGATGAATCTATGATCTTGTCAAATGTTTGTGATCAAAGTGCATCTAAGGGATCTTGTGGAAAATATAACCATTCTCAATTTAATAATGCAGTATGCTTATAGATAAAATATATGTAACTAATGTAAAAAGTACTGACATATTATTGATTATTTCAAGATTAATATTTAAAAGGATTATGACCCCTTTTTTATATCTTAGTCTTTGACTCAAACAGTCATGGATCTTATAATCCCACGATGACATGAAGTATTATCATGGTGACTTAGTCACTGGAGATAAATTTTTTTGGTTTTCAGTTTATCTTTACAATTCATACATAGTAGGGTGTAGGCACACATATAAATAGGATATTTAGAGCTAAAGGAACAATTTTGTAAATCAGTCTAGTAAAAATTCAAGATTCTATTTATTGTCAAATAACTATTATTAATAAATATTAATATTATTATTTTATTTAATTGTAGAATGTGGAAAACCACTAAAAATCCATTAAAAAGATATTAATATATGTTATTTGGAGCTAAAGGAACAATTTTTTAAATCAGTTTGTAGTAAAGATTTAAGATTGAAGATTCCATTTATTTTAAAATAAGTATTATATAAGTATTATTAATATTATTATTTTATTTATTTATAAAATTTGGAAAACCACTAGAAAGCCATTAAAAATTGAATTGTGCATTTAAAAAGATTGAACTGATTTAATCAACTTCATTCCAATGAGATACATATCAATTCTGATTTTGCAGGTTTATAAACTTTTAATACTAAATAGAAATTCAGTCAATTTAGGGTCTGTGCAAAGATCAGAAACAAGTTGCCATTAATTTTTGAGAAATTTACTTTTTCTTTTCCTATGTTTTAATTAATAGAAAAATATTAATGTATAAAATGTAAAGCAATTGAAATATCGTGTTTAGTTTAGAGTATTTAGCTCAATACAAACAGTATGGGTATCTTGATGTATTTTAAATGTCATTTACAAACATATATCTGTACTGTTGTTATGAGAAACCTTTTATTTAAAAAAAAAAACTTCTTGGATCTAGGGAGAGTTGTCATAGCAACTGCATTGTGTGTTCATCATCTGTGCATTATGGCCTTGTTGGCTCTGTGATTAATTTAGCCGTAGCATTTTGTCATTTTACTCAAGGGGATCTAATCTAGGTGTACAATCTACTTTACTTTTTTTCCCCTTACCCTGGACGAGTTAGTCAGATCATGCTACACAGTTCGAAAATTCTGCACCAAAAGTAAAGTAAGTAATCATTCAAATTCTCAAAGACAAGTGACTTGTCATTGAGAACACGATGATCAGTGGCATGCTGGCTAGCCGCCAGCCAGACTGTCTGGGGTCAAGCACCATTGTAACTTTTTTACCCCTCAATACCATGACCAACTTTTAATATTCAAGATTTGTATTTGATATTGAGATTTTATCAGTAAACTATTATTAGCTTTTTTTTCAAAAAAATATGGAGCTTACATTAGTCTCAGTTCTTGTTGTTTTTCATTTTCTTTACCCTAGTCGAATTCTCCTTGGGTTGTTACATCTCCAAGTTAATATTGATGATGAAAGAGAAACTACCATACACATGACATTTTCAGCCAACCATGTGTTTCCCTTCATCTCCAATTATAGGAGATTGAACTCCTACTATAGGAGTGTTGTTGTCTGTTTTCAATGAACAAACAGCTACAAAAATAAAACAATATATAAACACAATTAGTAATAATAATAATGATAATAATGATAACAATAACGATGATAAATAATAATTACTAACAATTAATATTAATGCTAAAATGATAATAATATTAAAAGATAGTGCTAATTGTTAGTCAAGCCTGTATACTGCATAGTGCTAACAAGGCCTCTAACTGTATGTACTTTACATTGTTTCTTGGTTATTTTAAACTGTATATCTACAGTAACACTTATGGAACACATACCTGGCTCCCCGGGGATATGCATAATGTACCTAGTAGTAATCAGCTCATACTGGGTTAAAACCTACCACTGGGTAATTACAGTACTTATATATCCTGGATGGAATGTGCCCTGTATAAGCATGACCCTTGGTCTACGAACATGCAAAAGGCACGGCAAGAGGCTCAACACCCCCCTCCCATTCCCCACCTCAAGGTTGAGAGCTTGAGTTACTACTACATCAGTTGCTCCCAAATAATAATGATATGAACTGAATATTGAAACTTATTTTCTATGATGCGATATGAACTGATATACTGTGGGGTAGATTTATCTTCTAGTAATCCTATCCTATATGGCCATATTGTTGTTTTTTTTTTGGTCATTGAAAAGAATTATTGGAATATTGACATATGTAATGGGATATTGAAGAATTATTGTATGAAGTAGTAGTCAAGAAATAATTCATTACCTTTAGGTGTTTTGTATGTTTCTAATGAATTGTGCATGATCATATTTGCATGAGGTTGGCCTATATACTTTACACTTAGTTTAATTCCTTAATCTGGAGTATTTCTGCTGTTTGAAAAAAAAAAACCTTTGTAGTTAATACTGTCTGTATTTAAACTAGTAAACTTTAACAAATCATTACAGATGTGGGTTTATGAGGGGGTGTCTCCCTTATAATCCCAAATGGTGAGCTTTGCTAGATGAATCACTCTTGCTGTGAACAAAACCATTTGTTAGAATAGAATAGATTAAATGCATCTATGATTATGGCAATGAACTAACAGATTATTAAACAAAACACATATGTTGGCATTTAACAAACATCATCGCAGTTTCTCCATACACTCATTTTGTCTGTACTGTGTAGTTTATATGTGTTAATTATATATTTTGATGATTTTAATATGTTGCAGTGAGGCTTTCTGTGAGTGTGATGCTCATTATTTTTTGTCATTATTTTGTTAAATTTAGCATGAAGCAGAAATAGTAAAAGAAAAAATAAATCTGCTAAAACCTGAAATAAAACTTAGTAATTTAGTACATGTATGAAAAACACAGAAATGCATCCACAAGCAGTAAAAGAAAGAATAAATCTGCTAAAACCTGAAATAAAACTTAGTAATTTATTACACGAAAAACACAGAAATGCATCCACAAGCAGTAAAAGAAAGAATAAATCTGCTAAAACCTGAAATAAAACTTAGTAATTTATTACACGAAAAACACAGAAATGCATCCGCAAGCAGATACTGTAGAAGCAGTTTGATTTGCTACTCTGTATATTTATAGCATGTTAACTATATTTAGGCTCCTTAATGGCATGGGATGATTGAAATAGTATTGTGCTAAACCATGCTTGATAAGAGACTGCATTTGGCCTCAGTTTATAATAAATTTATGAGTATGGGTAAAATGTATTTTAGTGCAATTAACAAAACCTATATTTAAATAATAAAGAGAAAATAAAATGAATTTTTATATTACATGATTAATATTTCTGAACTTTAGCCTTGTGGATTTTAATACGGTAAAACTGTATGTTCAGTTGAGTGTGAACCAAAGCACGCTATTAAGTAGCACAATACAGGTGTGAGTATGAATTATAGATGTTTGATTTTGGTTAGTAATGGCACCTTGCTAGTTTTAGGCTCTCGATGTGCGAACACATGCTTGAAATGAATGTGATGTATTTTTCTGATACACAGTTATAATTTTAGTGTGAACTTTACATAATTATATCTTGTTGTATAGTGTCAACATCATACAGTTGACCTACTATATCAACAAATAGAAAAATTAAATCAAAAAATAATACGGTAGTCAATTGTATTATATACAGGCATAATATTTTAATTCTATCTTTGCAGCTTAATGAATTGAATCGAGCTCCCAGCTTTCAAGGACACTTCAACTCTAGAGGACGCTATAACACTAGATCGCAATCTTATGGACGTTATCAGGATGATATACGAATGCGTCGTTTCAAAATCAATCAAGATTTTTTTGTCTTAAGCGGATACAACTCAAGTCTTTCATATAACTTGGACACAAATTACAACCGAGGAAGTCGCCATATTAATAATAGAAGGAATGGTTATGATCGAAGTAATAGCTATGACAGATATGGACGTAAGAAAGATGGCCGTCCAGATCAGCAATTTTACAATGCGCGTGAACGAATAAGCCGTCCTTCAAATTTGCCAATTGATGATTGGCTGATGAGCAATACGTTTAGTTTGATGCAAAACAAGAGGCGTTTAACGGACGTCAATTTGTACACGATATCGCCGCAGGATTTAGAACCATTGGATTCTTCTCAAAATGGATCTTTGGCGGATCTGAGTGACTTGAGTTTATGTAAGTGTGGCATTGGGAATAACGCTTTTAATGACTATCAAACCACGCAAATTCACGCTAGAAATAGATTGTGCGACCACTACAGTCCGTATACTCGGTCACCGGAGAATTACGGCTGTGAATGCTTTCAGCTTTGTAATAACCTTAATTCAAATCATCAAATTTGCGAAGAATGCCAAGATAGGTATAATCTTATAAGAAATAATCCCCATAGCATTGCGTATCTTCAACATATTCAGCAATACAGTCTGTACTGGGAAAAAGATACAGACAGCGACAACTGCAAAATGTTTAAATTCAACAAACGGCGCAAGAAAGAGGGGCTTGAAAAGCTGTCATCCGAGCTATTCGGGCCGCGGCCAAGCAATAGGCACAAGGGTGGTAGTTGTAGTAGTAGTGTTAGTAGAGATTCATATGATGATGATGAAGACTTTAATAACAAATCTTGTTGTACTTGTGTGGAGTTAGATCCCAATTTACATACCGTTGAGTTTCATTCTAACACGTCTCACAAAACGCTCTGTCACCACTGCTACGGGAATGAGGATAACAGGGTTCAAGTAGATCTAGAACTAACCAACAACTTTCATAAGGGAGACTCTGGGAGTCCAGATGGCATGGGTGCTTCCATTGGTGACGGCAATAATCTGGTTATGGGTTCTTCCGGTGACTCAGCTCTCTCAACTTCTGTGTCAGAGGCGGTCTGCAGATGCCTACGTCAACGACCGGAATCATTTTATTCAACATGTACCATCTCAGGTAGAACTCATCACTCACCTTGCATGCTTGCTTATAACTCTCACGCTAATATTGCTAAGAACACTGGCATTTCTACTTCTACATCTTCAAACATTAATAAAGGTGAAGGGTCATTTCATTTATCCCACAATTCTGATATTAGACTTTCAAATTCAAAGCTTGATTCAACTAATGCATCTGTATTTACTATTAGAACCCCTGATGGATCTAATCCAGATTCTAAACTTGATTCAACCAAAGGGAATACATCTCCGTGTACTAGTGGAACACCCGATGGATCCAATGAACAATCTGCTGTTTGTGAGAACAAAGTAGCCATCACAAGTATGGACACTTGCTCAGTTAACCCTAAACTTAAGCCTGATGTGAAAAAAACTGATACAACCATAACACAGTCAACTTCATTGCCGAGTGATTGCCTTTTAACCAATGAGCAATCCTTAAACAATAAAGTTGTCCAGTTACAGGTTAACAAAGAGTTTAATGACCAGTCTAACGATCATAATGTATTGGATGCTACTAACAGACAAGATGTCTATCCAGTAACCCACGATTTTATACCACTAACCAATATTATTGGAACCCACTCAACTAAACTTGATTGCATTGAGCATGCTCACAAAACTGACCAATGGGACACTAGCATGGATTGTACAGTTGCTCCTGACTCATCCATCCTACCATGTAATCTGCACGCACCCTCTGAAGACCAGTCTACTGAGACTGGGATTCAAGAGACAGAAATTTTAGGGCCTAGCTTCTTTTCAGATGACGACCTTGGACTGGATTTTAAGCAGGATGGGGAGGATTTTTCGGTTGGTAGAAGTGCTGATGGTGACGATGACACGTTAAGCCTGGCTAGCGTTGCAAGCTTGGCTGATGGTATGAAAGTTTTTTTTTTTCTAATTTCTTTGAACTTTTTGCCTATGAATTTTTAAAATTTGAATTGAAGCTGTAGCTTGATGATTAAGTTGTTCACTAGATTCCAGGGTTTGAATTCTCATTGTCCACTTCATACAGTAAAAATAGTATTGTTTAATAAATATTTTTGCCAATTAACATACACTTAAATCTTATAATCAATTTTACAAATTTTGACAAAAATATCTGTTTCATTAAAAATATTTTTTTAAATTTGTGTCATTGGAAATTAGTAAACACTTTTTATTCTCTTAAATAATAAAATATAAATGTTATAATTTAAGGTTTTCCAAATTACACCACAGAAACATGTTTTTAATAATTATTCGGGTTTTTAAAAAAATTAAATTTGTTTCCCTTTAGATAATAAAGATGGGTCAGGAAAAAAGGCAAAGGCAAAGAAAGCAAAGAAAAGGAAGCGAAAAGGTGGAGAAAAAGGAGAGGAAGCAACAGAGAATGATGATGACAATGCTGGAAATAAAAATAAGAAAGTTGCACCAAACTACTTTGTTGCAATACAGGTTTCAAACCCTAAGGTAAAACATTTTTGGCAACATTTAGAACTATAAACATTCATTTTTTTTTACTTTGGAGACTATGACAGGAGTCATAGTTGCAAAACAAACACATCCCTGCATGAAACATTGTTTTTATTCACTCTATGACCTCGTACCAAGCTTTTTAAAGATAGTTTCACCTATAGTGCACCAGAATATCTTAATTCAATTTATGATAGCATCAGAAACACGGTTGTATGCTCCATTTCTAAAATGCAATCTCAAACCGCATCTGCTTGACCTACTGTGCCAATGACTGCAGCATCAGGTGAGGGGGTCTGTTTTATGTCCTACATCTTTTGTGAGTTTGTATTGGTTTATAGGTCTTTGTGCTCGTGTGTTTTTCTTATCAGTAAATTATTTTAGTTCACTTGCCTTTTGAGGGCTACTTTGAGTAGATGTGTAGCTTTATTTAAAGGGCTGTTGTCATAAAATATATCTTTTTTGTGAATTTTCTTGGTCTCTTTGCTTGAGGTTTTGGGGGTGCCAGCTCTTTGTATTTTCAAAGAATGGTGCTACATAAATGACAAAATAAAGCGTACCTTTTTTATTCCCTGGTTTTTTTTTTACCGTCACAGGAGGGTGGAAAACATATAAAATAAAATTTTGTTTTCTGTGGTTTTACCAAAAACATCAAGATGGAGGTGAAAATAAAAATAAAATTTTATTGTTGAATGTAAACAGTGTAGTAATGGGATGGTTAAATGCGAATTAGGTAGAAATATACATATCTTACTTTTGGCTATTTCAAGGCAGCGGAAGGCCTAATAAATATAAAGAAAAAAAACTTTTCTGTTAGTGGCGGGTGATCTAATTGGCGAAAAATTTTGTTTCATTTTTATTCAAAATCTTAATTATTGGTGGGCGGCAGGTTCGCTAAACAAGGTATAAGAAAAGCCTTGTCTAAAGGAGAATAAAATTAAAATTTGGGTTTGAAACATGTTCATCACAAAAACATATTATCACTTCTACTAGCATACTATTCTTTTTAACAGATTGAAACTGCACATGTCATGGCATTTTTAAATGAAAATTGTATTTATATTTGTTTTTTTCAATTGTTTATGTACCGTTAGATTCAACGATCTTTACGGCAAGTGCAGAATCATGTCCTCAATGTTGATGAGAAACTAAAAGATGCCATGATACCGATACCCACAATGCATCTCACCATAATGGTAATGCATCTTGCCAATGAGGAGGAAATTGAAAAGTGAGTGTTAAACTGTTGATCTTGTTTATTTTTAAACAGTAAACATTGATCAGTACTGCTCCTATGCTATATATGTGTGCTTAAAATGCCCTACAAGATTACTTAAGATTATTTATATGTGGCATGTTGTATATGGCAGAATCACACAAATAATCCTAATGATGAACAAATAGATATTTAAAAACTATATATGTAGAAGGTTGAATTAGATTGGTTCGGTATCAAACACACCAAGGAAGGTCCATGAAAGTGAAGTCCTATCTTCACTGAATCCATCTGGTCATCTTATTTGGCAGTACACTAGAAGAAAGAATGTATTTATTAAGCACATTGGCCCTATTGCACATGGGATCAACAGCAAAGACGTTATAATGTCGTAATTTGCATTGAGTTTTGCAGCTGAAACCCCTCTAATTTAAGACCACCTTTTCAAAGAACCAAATAGCAATAATTAATCTTTTAACACAAAGCTAACCCTCAAATTAAAGACCAAACCCAGGGACCATCCCACATTTTCAGGTCCCAAAGGTGGTCTCGATTTGGAAAAGGGGGGGGGGGGCGAACTGTATTACTATCATATACAAGGTAAATATGCAGTATAAACTTTTTGTATAAACAAATTTTTTGTTAACATTTTATTTTTCCCAATCCGTGTCACTTTCCCTACAACTCCTTGCTAACCCACAGAGCTAAGAAAGCATTAGCAGCCTCTCATAAGGAATTGTCTGTCAAGTTCGGAGAAGAAAAGTTACTCATTCACTTCCAAGGCTTAAGTCACTTCAACAATCAAGTCATGTTTGCCCGCATCTTGGACGACAACAACACGATTGAGGTCTTGTACCAAATTGCAGGTAAGTTAACTGGTAATGTTTTATGAGAGAAAATTAGTCTGCTATTCATTTTAGAACCAGAATAATGTTTTTATTATTAACTTTTTATGTTTTTCCCAGAATTTATCACATGTATAATATAATTGCAAGATAAGACAAAACAGTTAAATGAATGAATCACAGATATGTTATGCCTTTTTATTTGTAGAAACTGTTGAAAGGTGTTTCAAGGAGCATGGAATCTCATCGACAGGTGAGAGAGGCTTCAAGCCTCACCTGACCGTCATGAAACTGTCACGTGCACCCAGCCTTCGCAAGAAAGGTGTACGGCGCATCAAATCTGAAGTATATAAAGAGCATAGTAATAAGTATTTTGGAGGTCAGGTTATGAGAGGTCTTCAGCTGTGCTCCATCACAAAACCAAAGACAGGGGATGGATACTATGCTAGGCTTCAAGAATTCTACTTTGGATCTTATGGTAATTTTATCTAAAATTAACTTTTGTGCGGTAACTTTGTAGCTGTGTATATAATAATATAATAGGATATTTTATGGATGGTTGTATTTTTAATTTAGTGGTCTATGCTGAATATTCATCAAATATAAACATAAATGCTTTCATAGAGCAACAGAGGTTGTAGATTGTGAATGGTTGATGCTGTGCCCAACAGCCAAAGTAAATTAGTATGAAGAGCTGGTTTGTTCAGTTGTGGGATGTGCATTACAGTGTTAATTATTCATCAATAATTGTTGGATTAGAAGTTACTACTGCATCAGTAATTGCACATGCACTTTCATTTTAATTAATTAGTCTATGTACATTGCAAGTGGTATATTTGTAGCCAAGATATTTTGTAATTTCGTCTCCAAATCATTTTGATATATATGTAGGTGAACTAGAAGAAGAGGATGATGGGATAGACTTGATTGGAGACCCAGTTATTGAATCAGCCAATAGCAGTCAAGCTTTAGAACCGCTAAATGAACTTATTAGTGACCTTAAAGAACAGAAGACAAACACAATAACAAAGGTCACAGAATCAGTCAAAAGTAAGTTGTTATTTACTTCTTTTTGTTTAATTAATCTTTTTTTTCAGCATTTAACAAAGACTTTTTATTTTATTTACCAATGACAGTTCAAAATACACAATGGTAGACAGCAGATGATATTACCAGCAACTTTTAATCTTCAACACATTTTCAGTCAATGTCCTAAGTATACAATACAATAATCTTTAATTTCAAGCAGTATAATTCATAAAATACAAATGAAAATGCTGAACTCATCAATTTTTAAATTGATTCCCAGCCATACAAATAATATATAAACTGTATAATTATTTTTTATGGTTTTTCTTTCCAGAAGCCCTTGAAACGTCTGGTAAAGAGGAGGACAGCACGAGTGAAATAGTCTCTGAATCCAGTCTTGACAGAACAGCTGATCTCACAACCAGCTGCGATGACATGACCAGCGAGGAACCACAACAGCACAGGCTTGATACAGAAATTGACAGTCCCTCAACCAAAAACGTAACTTAACCACTGACCCCCAAATATGCATGATGTGGACGTGCTTGCAGATATTTTCAAAAAACAACTCAAATGAAAACCGAGGGTTGCACGTGATCAGCTTCGAAGCTGGAAGGAAAATGCCCTCGTTAAATATGATGTGAAACACATAATGTGATCACTTAATTTATATTGTAAACGTTTAAGACTAACCTGGTTCACACTATAGGGATTTAGACTTATTGACGCAAGCACAAAAAACACACTACACCAAGTGGCATTTGTGTTTTCCTCAATGCATCTAACTTGTTCTAATCTCAACAAGCCTCACTTAAAAAGGATACCTTAATGTGTGCATACTTTTTTGCTTCACAACTTTCAATTAATTAGTATTATTAAAGCATTATTTTGCTTCATATATATTCTGATTTATTAATTGATAGAAATTAGATTTATATTTGGCTAACCTATTAATGAGTCATTATTTTGAACATTTTAAAATGTCACTTTATTTTAAATATTTTTGAATGTGAACATATTTTTTACTTTTAACTTTTATTTTAATTATAATTTTGGAAGTAAATTTTTGAAAGATTATTCTGCTGACTTATGTTTTCTTATTTATTGCTTATAGAATTTTATTAGATTTATATTTTGCTGACAGATTAATGAGGCAATTCCGTGACATATGTTATATTATACTAATAAATTTAGATGATTTTTTTTAATATATATAATTTTAGAAAAATAGAAGGTCTAGACACTATTTGTTATAAAATGATTTTCAGAAGTGAATGTGGTTGTACAAATTAATATATATTTGCTGGCCGAAAATAACAACATCCAGTTAAATGGTAAATTTGAATGAATTTTATGTAAAAAAGAAGGAAGCATATATAAATACACCTTATAGTTGTATTATGGTGTTTTTTTACAAAAAATGTTTCTTCTATATTTAAACAGCTCCCTCTTCAGTATGCTGATATGTTTACAAAGAAATATAATTTCTCTGGTTTAAAAAATTAAGTAAAATTACAATTGAGGATTGTGTTTAAATTTGGATGCCTTAGATTTTGGCGAGTCTGGATCTGGACAGATATGTTTTTTATGCATAAATTTGCGTAAGGAAACTTGGGATTTTTTTTGTTGAAAATATATTTGAATAGTATTAAAATTGCAGAAAGTTTTAGACAAAACTTATTGAATTTGATGATCATTGCTCTGTTGTAATAAATTTATCTAATTATAAGATATTATATGTTAATGAGTATATAACCTATAAAAAAGATTCCCCAGTTTGAGTATTTATCATGTTTTTTACTTGTAATTTAATTAAACCCTAAGGAACAGTAACACATAGTGGTAGCATAGAAGTTTACCTATTTGTATGTTTGAAATAACACTTCATATCTAATTAGTATGAATAGGATAAAATGATTTATTGTCCAATTATTGTATCACAAATACATAAATAATGGAACAACTCTATTATCAGAAATTTTATTTTTTTTCCAGAAGATTAAATGATTGTGATTATTAATTAATATATCCTATAATTGAAGTGGATGGATGATTGATTAGTTGGTTGATTGATTGATTGATTGATGGAAGTGGCCATAGGGCTGCAGTCACCTATGCCTGATGAGAATATTTATTACACCTCAGCTGATACTGCCTTACCATATTTTGTAACAGTAGGTATTGAAACCAAAGCTGAATAAATAGCAATATCTAATAATAAGAGAATAATATTATTTTCTTTCACCTTGCTAAATTTCGTTAAAGTGCTACTTTAAAAGCTACAAAGATATCATTAATTAAGATTATATGTTGTAATGTAGTACAGTACACTCCTATATAATTGAAATAAATACATCTACATTTAGACATGCACCGCTAGTTTATGTGTACAGTACACAAGCATTTGTAGCACTGATGCTGTGTTCTTCACACACATGTTATAATAAAGGAAAATCATATTAGTGAGCACCGTGTGCTCCCAGCAGTGCGAGTTAATTCCTGTCAAGATACAGTAACAAGATCAGTAATTCATATACAAAAATACCTCCATTAGGTTATCAACAACTTTTAGTGTCTTGCATGCAATAAAGCATATATTACTTAAACAATTTTCAAACTGCAATATTAAAATTTCACTTGGTAGGTAGCTAATGTGAATTGTATCCTTTTAAAGATGCTGTTAACCATGATCACATCTGGTACTATTTCAGAAATAGCATTGTTTAAAAGAAAGTATATATATGTAAGGGATATTGTGATTAAAATTAGTTTCACTGTACCATGTTGAACATGTCTTTAGTTCATCAGACATATCTTGAATACTTGAATTATCAATAATTTGTTCCCTAGAAGTACCGTATGTAATATTAGTAAAACTTTCAGAAAAGATTATATTTTTTAATGACTGAAGTAGTCATAATTACGTTAAAACAAAACTCTCATTTGAATCATTTCAATTCCGTATAAGCATCAGTCACTTTGATAACTGTTAATCAAACAATAGTTAATGTATCACTTGATATAACTATTGTTCGATTGATAGGAGTTTTTGGTATATTGCCATAGTATTGACAGTTAATCTATTAAAAACAATAAATAAAAATCCAGACCCACCCCAAAAAGGAACTTTACACTGTATTGACAGTCGCAAATCAACATTTTATTACCAAAGTAGACTGTAATCCCACCCAAAACTTAGAATTTAGTAAAAGACGACGATCGTGCGTTTACCACCAATTTGGCTGCCAAAACTTAAAAATAGCAGCAGCACCCCATCATAAACTCTACAAATCCCCACGTTATTGGATTGGTTGGTCGAAAGCTCATTGTAGTTTATTACAAACACTACTTGGTTAAGCTTGTAAATATTTACAGAAACATCCAATGAATCTGTTTTGTGAAGAGAGAATAATGGTCCCGCGATCTTTCATTTTGATTAGTTGATAAACATTGATTTCTGTTGAAGAGTTTCTTCAAAGATTTGTACATATCTATTATAGTGGTTGTTTGTGAGTTAAGCTACATACTGTACTAGATTGGTAGATATATTTTTAATTACAGTTATAAAATGAAATTTGAACTTATTCAAGAATTAATAACTGTAAATGTTTAATTGTTATCGTGCTTCATTTACTTATGTTCTCGTTTATGTTCAGGAATGAAAAAAAGCGATTAACTTTAATGAAGCTAAATTATGTAACAAGTGCTAGGCCTATATATTTTCTGTGCTTGAATTTTTTTTCACTATTGATCCGTAGATGTTACTTTTAATGATTGCTGTTAAATTCTGCTAGTTTGGAGAATATATAATGATTATTTTATACGATTACTATTTATTAAGTTTCGGTATTTTTGCAGGGTAGGTTAAAGTACGAGTTCATAACATCGGAATTATTACTACACATAATAATATTTCTGCACTATTCAAATTTTAATCGTTTTGTTCAATTCGTATTTTTAGTTGTAAAGGGTTAAATTACCTATGTTTGTCCACAGTTGTTCACAGTGACACAATTGCATATCAGTACAGTTTTTTTTTTTTTTTTTTTTTTTTTTTTTTAGCGACATGGTCATGTTTAACTATGCAACTTTAATGTTACTGTTAATAGTCTATTGAAATATATATATTACAATGCACTATTACCAGCTTTACTTAAAATTTGCTGGCATAATGGGAGTTTTTACAACTCAATAACGATGACAATTATCATTAGAAAGTATTGTCCTGTTGTCATTTGCACTGGAAATAATCGCTGTCGTTTAAGTTTATGTATAATTTGTGCTTCTGTTTCTTTTATATTCTGTACTAATGAAGGACAAAGGTCGTTAACATTTTCATTTCTATATATTTGATATTGAAATATAACTTTTTTTACCTCATTTGTTTGTTTCTTATATGCTTAATATTAACAGTAATTTTCTTTATACCTACAGAAGATTTCACAAATGTGTTGTTTATATAGGAGTTCATTATAAATAATTATTATTTAAAGTTGTTTTGGATGTTTTATTAAAATCTAAGAAAGGTTCGTAGAATTTTTTTAATTCTTGTGTTTAGTAATCCGTGCCATAGTAGTAATTATTTTTTACTTTTAAGGGCGCCCTCTATGTCATTTTCTACACCGTATTCTACCACAGATCTTATAACTACCGTACATATGTTTGATTCTAGGCCTACTTATTTTCAACACATACCGGTACTTTTTGTTTTTGGTAGTCAATGCACAATGAACGACCCAAACAGAGGGGTACAATAATTCGATTACAGCAACCGAACCGCCAATCAAAAAAAGACAGCCAAAACACTACGGCACCGTACTTCACATAAAGATCGTAACCGTAACAATTATAATTATTATTGGTATGATAAAAATAATATTAGAATTAATAGCCTCTTATTAATATTATTGTTATAATCATCATCGTCTCACCATCTTCGTCGTCCTCTTCTATATTAATATCATCCTGATCACCATCATTGAAATACAAATTGTACAGCAGGCCCGACGGACGCAATTTCGTGAGTCTATACAGTGTATGCAGTCGCTAGAAGATCCTCCACTTCATTTCGGTTGTTGTGCTGTACTTCAAATTGCTCCCACTTAATTACACTTGATTACAATATTGATCGCAAATAAATCACATGTATCATGTTACTTACATGTTAGTAGTTCGAAAATGATGTGCCATTCACTGTCTATAATAATATCAAGTTATTTGCCATTAAAAATCTTTCATTTAGTCATTTAATCAATAGAGAGCGTGAGGAGTTAGTTTATAAAATAATATGCTAACATGCGGGCTAATTTAGTGGAGAGATCTGAGTGTTTCACATTTCCAAATGCTTTAATGGTCTTTTGTTGTGTTTCTTTATTTTTATTTTTTATAAATTACACGGTTGATATAAAGTGTCACTTAAAGCACGGCCGGTGAGAATTAGTGTATGGTGTTATAGAATGTAAACGCCGTGTGCAAATCAGAGAAAAGATTGATTACACATTAAATAGTATTGTCGATTAACATGTGTACAAAGTCATATTAGAAATCTAACATGTTCATTAATAGTTGTTACACCGAATGTGTGAGGCATATTTAACGATGGGCTTAGAGGGCATATACGTGAATTACTTGAAATCATTCGAAATTTGGGATTTATTCAACAGTTCAATATTTGACAGTGTTCAGGAAAGTGCAGTGGAAACGATTTTGTACCGAATCTTACTTTCGCTCGTTGGACTCTTAGGAACAGTCGCTAACGGTTTCGTGTTGCTCATCTTTTTACTTAACAAACGTTTGTTGGACAAGAAAAACGCGTTTATCTGTAACCTAGCATTAGCGGACGCGTTATTTGG